GTTAAAATTTCGTCGGAACGAAGTTACGGAAAAATCAATTAACAAACGGAGACGTAACAGCATATTGAGAAAAGACTTCAGATCGTAATACAGATGTGAAGTTAATCGCATCAAACAGTGTCACAGTCTATGATCAATCAATCCCTTTGTAGTGCTCAACAATTACAGCATCAGAGGTTAAACTCCAGTGACAACAAGGATGGAAGAACAAAATTATGAAACAAACACTAAATAGTCAACAGAGCAGAACCCAAAAAGACATGTTGTTCAAGATAAAGCTTATCCACTGTGGTCACCCTATGAAGTACGTCGGCAGAAGAATGCCCAAATGATTAGATTTAGGTAAGACTTCGCTAAATGTAAGTCGACATACTGAAGAACTCAAAGTTTATTTGGGAATCAGTTCTACTGTATCACCAGAGATGAAACCTCCAGAGAATTCCACCAGTGACAAGACAGCAAGTTTAAATAATATAATTTCTCGTAGTGCTTCAAATATGTGTTGGTGGGAGATAGCCTAATGTACGTCTCAATAAAAATAATTTTGTGATAACCTGGAGAATACCAGCCATAACTTTTAAATCCAGGTACATGTTAAAATAGATAAAAGTACAGATAGAGTATGTGATGACCTCCAATATATTAATATCATAAGAAAATCCGCTTCACACATTTACATTTGAAGGACCATGGACAAACTATATCACAGTACACATAAATCTGCTAGTAATCTTGTAGCTTAATACCAATGTTTGATCATTTTTCTATTCAGTCTAAATAAACTGAGTTAGCTTTTGTCATTTAAGTAAAAATAATCATACTATGTGGTTTTGTTGTACATGTATTTGAAACTTTTATCTGAAATAAATTTCCCAATATTTTCATCACGCCACAATTCCCACAGTGGATCGCCGGCATTACAACGCTAAAACTTGCGGTTCGATTCCCCACAGCAAACATAACACAGATAGCCCATTGTGTAGTTTTATACAAAAATGTATGAACTTTATACCATAATAAAAACATGTAACATTAATTTAAACCATTTAAAAATTATATTTTATTTTTCACAATGATTAAAACATTATTAATGCTAATAGGTATGTCACATATTAGTTGTTTTTCAAAAGATAAGTAAACGTTTTCGCTAATTACGTTGTAAAAAATGTAATCTTTATTTAGTTATCAAAGATCTCAGAAAACTAAAATAGAAATTTATGTCAGTACAAAATACAAAACTATGTTAAATATAACACTAGTAAGCTATAGGAAGCGCTACCTATGTTTATATGTGATATCTATCTTTCAGGTGGTGTGGTCGACAAGTTAGTATCAGAAATTATATGTATGGTATTTCTAAACTTTTATTTAAAGTGTTTATAGACTTCTAACATTTTTCTCTCTTTTTACAGGTGTAAAAAGCAAAATGGTGGCTCAGAAAAAACAGGTGTGATACCTTTTATTTTTTATTCAAAATACTAGTTTAAAGCCTGTTACTAAGTTATCCCTACACGAAATACTTACAAAATTTAAATATCTTATGCAATGGTATCATAATGAATAGTTATAAATTCTTCCGAGGGATAAATATTTTCTAGAGGTATACATTATAGACACAATATAAATCATAATGAAAAATGTGAAAGCCAAAGTTACATGTTTTTTTTTAAACTAAAAAAAAAAAGTTAATAAATTGAAAGTTACATAAGGGTCTTAAAAGTTATAACAGTAGACATTAGAACAAATGCTAATGTTATTATTAAAATGTATAATATTTAATATGTTTGTATACACTACAATTCTACAATGTCACTTAAGAGTCATATGCACTGCAACTCCCTACCACTAAACCAGTCAGAAATAGTTGCAAAGAATTTGTGGGTAAACTGATCATTCATTCTTTATTATGAGTAATATTTTATTGTGAAAGTCTTTCAGAAAATACATAAATTCTGTGACCTTGTAAAATGGTAGTGTTATAAAGCATTTTTAAAATTGTATTTTCCCAATCAATTCAATATGCATGTGTAAAACACATCTGTAGCTTTTGCAGCATATTTAACATATGTTCATTATATATAGTGTATACAGTCATTATTATCAACATTAGTTCAGTTACACAATTGAGTTAATAATTAGCTAAAATTATAAATGGGATACTATATGTTTGTATATGAAGATATGTTTAGAATTGTAAATATAACATTAATAGAAAATATGTACACACAAATGTGAAAAGTTAACCATAAATAACATATGAAGATCCTCAGGGATAAGTTATAAACCATGTCAGATATACATCAACCATTGTATTTTCAAAGTAGTGTTCATGAAATATCAAATTGGAAAATATATACATTTTATATTTATAAAGTTTAAGAAGTATATTAGTAGCCGTGACATTTTACTGTTACAAATTTTTAAAAAAATCACGAAATTTGAATTCCATGGTTTAAAGCACGATATACAAAGCCCACAAAATGTAGAAAATTTCTGAAATGGTTAAATATGTATAGCATATAATTTGATAAATAAAGTTGAATTACTGAAAATTTTTCACAAATATGCCATGTGACAATGTGGTATAAAAAGAAACAAAATAACTGCCAACACTTCCAAAATTAAATATAGCTTCAAATACAAAAAAAAAAAATCAATAATAAATCAGATATATATCTGTTCTATTATGTATTTCAAAAGCATATGCTTTTGACCATTAAAAACAAAATTGTGACTGGTGACATCTAATGTGCTATAAAATGAAATATTCTTATACAAATACTAGATACAGTGAGTACCATAAGCCTTGAAATGTAATAAAATCCACCTCTGGTCTTAGCAAAAGTATTAACAGTGCATAAAATTTAGTAATTTTTAGTTCATTTTAAAAATTAAACAACACAGTATGACAAATAAAGCAAATTAAATTTCAAATCTGTATTTTCTTTACACAAACAAAGTTATTTTTATTGTAATTGGATAGACTGGTAAACTTGTTAATTTGTAGGATAAGTTAAAGGTTAGGTGTAGAGATGTTGAAAGAAGATGATCTCCAATTGCAAGAATTTGAAGACTAGTTAAAGGGAGCACAAAATTACTATGCTTAAACTAAGTTTAGCTGGAAATAAAGAAAGCTTTTGAACTAGGGAAGATCATATCATGTATTATAGAACATGCAAAAGCTGATAGTGATAGACTTCATAAATAGATAAATGTAATATTTCTTGTAATAATAGTGAACGTCCATTAGTGTATTAGATGTCATTGCATTAAGACTTGGCTAAATGAAGATTTTGAAGGTGTTACTTTAGATTTAAACTACTGTAAGAGACATAGCACAAAAAATGGAGCTATTTTGTGTATAAGAAATAGCCTGAAAGCATAAGAAAATTTATGTTGCACAGATTAACAAAAATGTTGAGTATTTGAGTATAGAGCTTTGAAAGAAAAACCTGTTTTTTTACAGCCTTCTTGATGAGATTGTTAATAGTAATAGGAGCTAGTGTAGACAGCTTATTTATGTTGTCAATAAAAATTGGTGCATTATTACTGTATATTTGTAGAAAAATTGACTGGGCTGAAGAGTGTCTTTCAGATTGTTGGTGATGGATTTTTTTCAAAGATTACTTGAAAAGATTGTTTTAGCTTGATTCTTATCATAAAGGCTTAATATTTGAAAATAGCAGTACAATACTAACAATAATAACATTAGTACTTTAGATGATTACATTAAAATCCTTTATTAGAAGTAGTTAGTCATGTCTCTGATTTTTGGAGGAAATGATTTTCATAAACTGCAGAAATTTAAGATGAAGAATAGTTGAGACTAAATATAGGAGGGGATAGATTTCTTAGAAGGTGGTGGGGACAACTCTCAAAATATGTATATATAATTCTTTTAGGAAAATGTTTCTAGTAAAGTTTTGATTAACTTCTTGAAAGTAATACTCCAAGTCCTTTGAAAAGGATTCTAACATTTGTGTAAACATACCCTGGTGCATGCTCTTAATTTCAAGTTTAGAAAACCTTGGTTTGAAGTTGTTTTATTAGATTCATGTAAAAATTCACAAATATGTAAAAAATTGTCAAATTATCAGAAAACAAAGTTATGGATGATGATCATTTATGTAATTAAAAGAACTATGTGTTGGCCTTTCCATGTATGTTAGCTCATAATGAAACCCAATATTCTTATTGACTTATTGTATAGTAGTACTTTAACATTTATACGAATGCAAAAGTGAACTACATTTAACATGCATTGTTCTATACAAGTGCAAAACTGACATTTATAACATACGATTTAAAGACAAATACTTCAGTGACATAAGCACGCGAGGAAACACATAATGTTAATTCTCTACCTTTCTGTGGCTGATAAATAATGCAATACTTTTACATCTAGATACAAATTACAACAGGTGTCTAGAAATTGACAATTAAGCCTAAGGTTTAAATATGTTTCATACGTGAAGCATGGGTTTCTCTGCTACATGGTCTACAGCAATTGACCTTAATAGTCACTGCCACATCTTCATTCGTTTTTGATGTTCTACAGCTAACACATTGGACTATTATTTTAAATGTGCAAATAATTAAATTTTGAAACATTTACAAAATACATGTGTTAAAAAAGGCCCCACATGTATGAGAGGAATATTGATTTTGTTAAAAAACTTGAAACTACTAGCTGAGAGTTTATTTATGGTGAAATGTGTCAATAGAGTCATGGGATATATTTGTAGAAACTTTGAATTGAAGTGGTTTTTATAATCTTGTATTAAATTGAATACTACCTTTTTAATACTATGTGTAATTTTGGATACCCTAACTAAAGGAAGGACATAACATGTTGCAAATAATACAGAAAGGTTACTGGTATGATACTTGACATAAAATACTTGGCTTAACAATTTAGACTTGTTTTTCTTCTGGGGTGTAGAAGAACTAGTGAAGACTTGATTCATGTGCTTAAGTTCTCAGGAGTTTAAAACTACCCATGGATGTTTTGTTTGAGCAGGGTAAGAAAAGTTTACAAAATCCAAACTTGAATACCAGGGACTTCTCAGGAAAGTGATTTTTATGATAGAATTAAAGCTTGTGGTTAAGCATTTGTTGGGTAGATGTGATAAGTGAATAGCTGCATTTAATTCATATTTTGTTAGTTGATTTTTTCGGGTAGTTGAGAGATCTTGAGCCAAGTGGCCTTGAAACAGTGGTAACTTGGTAAATGTTTTATATTGAGATCTACATTAACATACATAGTGAGATATTGAGATATGTGATCATTGGAAGATTGAAGCAACAGAAGTGTTTAATTTTTAAAAAAGAAATACCATCATTGTTAGAATTAGTGTGTATGAAAATGTGATTGTGTGAAATGAATGTTTTAATTCCACTTATTATACTAACTTGATTCTCTTGATAATATACAAAATGACTGGCTTTCCTGTTGTATGTACTTTTCTTAGTATTCCTGAAAAGTAAAAAAACATGAATATATTGACCTTTTTTTTTATAATCTAATATTAGGTGATGCTTCTTTATATGCAAACACAACAAACACTATAATATTATAATTAAGTCAAAAGTATTTTAGTACTAAAGAGACTACTTTAAACAGTGTATAGTGGAGGTGTCCTGAGATTTTCAACTGTACTAAAATTATTATTTTTAACGTAATTGTGTCTTTCTAATTATTTTAATAATTTTTGAAACAACAATCATTTCCGTGTCTTATTTGATAAATAGATTACTTGAGTTGCTCACAAAACATTTGAAGTTTGTTACTGTTTCTGATTATACTATCAGGAATTTTCTTTCCATAGGGCATAGGGAAGTTCTCCTCCACTACATTTATTAATCTTTTCAAGGTTTTATTTTTATATATATATATATATATACGTTAAACCTTGTACTTGTAAAGCAATCTTTGTGAACACAACTAGATTATGTTTATAGACATACTGCTCCTTTGACACTGAATGCCTCATGACACATCAAACACAAGTTAATTCTTTCCCCCCCACCAAAAAAAAGAAAAAAAAGGTCAGAAAGAAAACTCCTTTGTTGTGTTCTTATGTAATCTTATGTATATCAACTCATCAGTGCTGATTTCTTTAACTGCAACGCTTATATAGTTTTATTCATGTATGCTTTATTGATATCCTCATATCCTCTGCTAAAATAAATTATGAGAACGATCATATAAATTAAACAAAAGATAGAGAAAGGAGTGACAATGTAATACACTCTTATCAAACCCTATTAAAAGGAAACAGTTATTTTAAGATAATTTGAGACCTTTAACCCATTATTTGACAAAGTTCTGTGTCTGCTTATAACTGGATAATCATTAGACTGATTGTCACCAAATGTGGCAGGTACCCTTAGGTCCCCAGAGAAGTGACATGGGGAGATTGGCATTCAATTCTGACCCTATGACACCACCCCATGTGTTGAATGTGTACATTAGTTAGTTAGAAAATTTTAACCATATACTACCATAAGCATAGCTGTATATTATAAGGTTTTATAACAAATTGTGTTCTTTCATCACTAGTGGGATGGTTTTTCTTCAGGAATTACATCTTGGTGTTCTTTTCAGAAATGGAAATATAAGAAACAGTGTAACGTTCTTTTAGGTATGTGCAAGTGTATGTACACATACAAAGTGTACATAATCAGAAGAGGATTATAATAATAATAATACTTTAAGAAATATCTCACATAACAAGTGTATTTCTGTCCTTGTGTATATATACACTTAGGGCTTTTGTACTGTGGTCATTCTTCTAGAGATAACTATTATTCCACGAGTACTGAATTAACAGAAAAATGTGATCTTTTACACTGTGTAAATATTGTTCTAAGCTAATAAAAAAATTACACATCAATTGCACTTTTAAATATTTTAATTTCATCTCTGTTTGTAATTTATGCTTTTTCGTGATCACCCTTTATGACTATAATTTCAGATTAGATATAATTAAGGTGGATATAAAGTGCTTAATATTGTGAAATGTGAATAACAGAATTCAAAGTTATTAGTTATGAAGCTTTCTTTATATATCTGCGTGTATTATAATCTTTTAATTTCTTTTTTTTCAAATAGAAAAAGACGATTGAGAGTATCAACTCCCGTCTTGCTCTTGTTATGAAATCGGGGAAGTACGTACTGGGTTACAAGCAGACCCTGAAAACTTTAAGGCAAGGCAAAGCCAAGTTGGTAATAATTGCCAACAACACCCCACCATTGAGGTTGGTTCTGTCTATTTTACTCTCTTGAGTTTTTAGTAATGGCATGATGAACACAAAGTTCAGTGAAAAGCTATTTTTTAAAATTTGTCAAAATTATTAATACTTTGACTTAAAGAATGGATTGTGTCATGTTCATCATTTTTTGTGAATGTATTTTGTATTATTTCATCTCAAAGAATTAGAATAGAAAATGGCCATCACCAAAGCATCCATGAGTTTGAGTAACAATAAAAGAATAGCATTGTGTAACCATTAAAAAGCTAGTCAAAAAAATGGTAAATGGAATAAACTATTAAAAAGACTTAAAGAAACTAGTTTTCACACTCTCTTTGGCAGAAAAACTGGTCAGCAATGTTTGTGTGACCCTTGAACTTTGAATTAAATTAAGAACACACATAGTGAAAAAAGTATTATTGCTTTAAGTGTCCTTGAGAGTTGTTGAAATTAAGCAAGCTTTTGCTCGAGTAACTTTTAATGATTCTTCTTTTTATTTAGTTATCTGTTTTGTGAAAAAGATTTCCAATCAATTTAAATTATTTGATGGTCACAATCTCTCATATGAAGAAAAATGACATTGTGGTTCCAAATTTAGTTTTTTCCCTGGCTAGGCTTACTTTGTCTTCTTGGTTGCTCTAACATTTTAATGAAATGTTATGAATGATGAAGTTTGAAAATAGCAAAGGTGTTTTTAATTACACTTGGAAGCAAATTGCTTTTACTCTAAGGAAAAATTAAGAAATGATAGTTATTTTTTACTTGATCCTGGTAGTTTGATAGTGCATTAAGGTGGTTAAGGTTGTTGAAAAAGTTTTCAAAATCACTTCTTTAGTTTGTCCATACAACAAATATATCAACAAGTAATAGAAAACATCTTGTAAATGTAAAATGATGTAGGGGTGACTGTGGCAAAAATAATGCAAACAAGAATATAGGGATGATACAGCTATACATAGATCATCCCTACATGACTTTCAATATTAAAATTTAATGTTACACTGTAAAATACACAAGAACAAAATGGTTATGAGGCTGGTCAATTCAACTGATCTAATACTAAGAGTGTAATAATCAAGACATGTTTTAACTCAACTTGATTTTCCTTGTACATAAGTTATAGGCTCTTAGGTACACTACTTTGATACCTACTATGACATGACCATGATATGATAAACAAACTGCATATCAACAGTCAGGAATATGTAACGTCTAACTACAGTAATATTAAAGTAAAGTAGGCATTTTACTGTGTAACATTAAATATTAATATTGAAAGCCATGTAATGATGATCTGTATATAGCTGTATCATCCCTATATTGTTGTTTGCATTTTTTTTTGGCACTGCCATCCTACATCATTTTACATTTACAAAACATTTTTTATTACTTGTTTTGTGATGTTTTTTCCTCTGACTGAAACTTAGCATATTCTATAAATGTGTGTAATACAATTTAATATTGTGTGTTGATTTTTTTTACTCCTTTACTTAATAAATAATATCAGGGGTTGGCTTTGTAATGACACCGATTGTATAGTGTACAAAGCACTGAGTATTCTACATGTTAGTCATCTAATGTTCATCTGTTATTCACTGGAAATTCCTCTTTCACCCTGTACTTCAGCTTTTCAAAAAAACACCAGATTTTTGTAAAAAAAACAACTTCAAGGGGTAATGATAACATCATTTACACCAGAATTATGTATTTTTTTTTAATTACTACTAGTTATTATGACCAAATGATGACATTGTGCACTGCTCAGAAACACAGAGTGGATTTAGGTTTCAACTGACCGTTAGTGATAAAGTAGTTGTAGAGTTAACTCAACTGAAACAAAAAGAAGAAAGATGAACAATTTGGTGGGTTGGTCACTTTCTGGTTTGATAGAGTGATGTTTTCTTGGCTAGAGAAACAAATACAAATGAGTGGCAATCATCTTTTAAAGTAAAACTGTCATTTTTGATTTTTAGCGTGCATATTTGTATTATTCCTGTTGAGTAACCTTGGCCATCCCTACATATAGAGTCTACTGACTCTATGATACATTGGAACAATATAATTTCTGAAAGGTTTATGTTTATTAATGGAAGTAATACAGTTGGAATATATTCCATGAATATGACGTCCTGTATTGAAGAAAGAGAACTTCCCATGGCCATTACATATTTTTGTCTAAAAAATTTACCAAGACAGGTGAAAACATTGTTTACCAAGATTTTGATAAAAGATAAAGATAAAAGTATCAATGGGAACAGGTAAATATATGTTAAGTTTGGGTAATTTTCTTTTACGAAATTCTGTGGTCTCATCAACTGGTACATTGATAAATAAAGCATCAACATAAAAAAATGTAACATTTTTTATTTTATGTGTATTAAAACTTAGAAGAATTTTGTAAGAATGTGTATTTTTATGAAATGTTAAGCTCTTGGTTCCTTACTAAAAGGAATCTGACTTTAACAGTTCACTATATATAATTCTTTCTGGTTATCCAGATCTTTTAAAGAACTTAAAACACATTAATCCTTCTCTACCCCACCTGTATGGTTAGCCTAAAATGTATGAAGGAAACTATCCTTTAGCTGTACAGTTTCTAACATGGAGTATGTCATATACACTTTACCTAAATGGTTAGTAGAAAATCTCTCCTTGGTTGTTGAAAAAATTGCACCATCCCACATCCAAAACAGTGTAGAATTTGCAAAAATGAAAATTAAAACAGTGACCTTAGTAAATGAAAAATGTCTTGATATTGATGCTTTATTTACCAATGTACCAGTTCATGAGACTTTATTAGAGTTCCTTAGAAAAAATTATGTAAACTTAATATATCTTGGCCTGTTCCAATTGACACTTATCCCTCTTATGTAAATGAGTGTAACTGTATTGGTCTATATTTTAGACTAAAATATGGAATGATTTTGGAAATTCCACTTTCTCTAATACTGAGCAACATTTTTGTGGAATATTTTGAAACTTAATTACTTCCTTTCATATAAACCTTTCAGAAATTCCTTGATTCCATTATATTGTTGATATAATTTCTGTGTGACCAAACCAAAGAAATGATTGTGAAAACATTTTTAGCAATTTAACACTTTCACCCCCTATTAAACTTAAAGTTGAGTGAGAAGAAAATAAACTTCTTTTTTGAATATTTTGATAACCAGGACGAACATGGAACCTGTCTTCATGATGTATCACAAAACTGACAAATACTTTATGTTCAGTTATTTTCATGTCACCAGAAACAAGTTAAAACCACTATTTATTACCTCTGCCACTGAAGGTGACAGAGATTATGTTTTCACCCCGTGTGTGTGTGTATTTGTAAGCAAGATTTCTCAAAAATGGCTGAATGGATTTGGAGAAAAGTTGGTATATATTTGGGTTATGACCCAACTTTGAAATGAAGGTCTAGGTCACAAAAATCCAAATGTTAACATGGGGACTGATTTTTCACACTATTTTGTTCTATAATTCAATCAAAAATGATTTGATTTGGATGAAACTTGTTGGACTTGTGTAGAGCATCATTCCTCATTGTCCTGCCAAAAATGGTCCATGTTTGTTGTTAATGATGGACATACGAGCATATTTTTGTATTTTTTGAGGGCCAAAGACGACAAATGCTGTGTAGCAGAGGTATGCACTCTACTGCGTGCCCCTCTAGTTTCGTAATTTTTTCTCTAAGGCTATACAGTTTGCCGAATGGCAAGACCCGACCATGAAGTTAAAAAATCTTTGCTATTTTCAAACAATTCCATTATCCACAAAATTTCATTAAATATTGGCATTTTAGGGCAAAATAAAAACCCATTTCCAAGAAGAAAGAAAAACCAACCAATGATATTATGAAATCTCATTATATTGGGTATAAAAGAAAATATTGGAACATCATTTAAAATAGCAACTTGAAATAGAGCCACATCTGAAGATAAAAAAAAGAACTTGTTAAACCATGCCAATTTTGAGAGAGAGGTTATATAGGTAAAACTGGAAGAAGTGTTGAAATGAGTAATTCTAACCACAAAAAAGACATTTAGTAAATAAACAATGCAATTTTTCTTGTATGAGTGATTCTGGCAATCAAAGTAAGTAGAAACCAACAGATAACTAAGCAAAAAAGAAGAATCTTTGAAATTTGCCTAATCAAAAGCCTACTTAATTTCAATACCTCCCCAAGTCATTTGAAGCTAAACAGCTTTTGAACCACTTTTTCCATTAAAGGAATTCAAAGTTCCAGGGTCAATTAGGCATTGTTGACCAGTTTTCCCTCCAGAAGACAACATGAAACTGAAGAGTATTCACAAATGTGTTGAAATTAGTTTTTCTAATTTCAAGTGTTCTTATAGTTTGTTCCATATATTGTGGATCTTCACTGGCATTTTAATTAACAACTTTGATATCAATCTACTAAATAGAAATTAACATCTATAGAGGAGTAAAATTTGTTTCATTGTAAAGCATTTTAAATATTATCCTGGGTTTTGTTTCATATGATCACAAAGTTAACAGTTTCATGGAGTCAGGTTTTACATTTTCGAAATTATTTTAGAAAGTGTAGACTCAGGTAACCCAGCCATATTTAGTTGCAATGATTAGCAATAGTGCAGTTGGTTGTATAGGTATAAATTAAATATTTTGTGATCAACGAACTTTAGTTGGGTATTTTTAAGTGCTTGTCACATTGTTTTCAGATTTATCTGTTCAGTTTAACCCTTTCCAGACAGGTCATAGGCCATGTCACCGTGTTTGTTGACTCGCATTCAAAGTTATATTGAACTACTATTTTATTAATTTATGTCAGTAACTTTGGTATCAAACTGTAGCTTATAATTCAAATGTTAGTATATATATATTATACATTACTCAGTTTCTTAATTTAGAAGTAAATATTTAAAAAACACAGCTAAACATCAGTTTTTGTATCATATGGTATGTTGAATGCATCACTGGTTCAGATTAGATGTTTGTGATGTCAAAATACTAAGTCTGTAGTTTTGTACAAATTAGGAACTCAAATTAATGATATTGACAAGCTAGAATATAAAATAAGAACCTCTCATCTTTTCTTTTTGCTAAGATATCACCCACCCACCTCTCCGTTTTTGGTAATGCTTTCTTATATACACTTATTTCTATATATGACATGAATAACCAATCAAAAGCTCAGAATTTCCCCCTATTGGCTTTCTTAGTTTAAGAACTTAGTTCAAAATAGCAATAATCTATATACATATATAATGTATGATAATTGAAAAGTGACTATTTTACAAAATACT